CTTTGAAGGGTCTCAGAGCTAGGCGGGTGCTCCTGCAGGGTCTGAGTCCTGCTGAGCTCTGTCTGCTTCTCCGTCACGTGGCGACTGTCTCCGCTTCCAGTAAGTGAGACAGGAGCCTGACCCTGCCTCCCAGCCCCAGAGGACAGAGGATGGGGCCAGGAGGGGCGGGAGCAGGAGCAGAATGTAGGTAATCCAGAGCATTAATTAGTTCCCGCAGGCTTCCAGAGGCAGGGTTTGGTGACAAACGGGGTCAGGATAGTGAGGAGGCTGTTCCCCATCCCTTCCCTCAGCAGACACCTGGCGTCAGGGGCTGTACATCTGCCCAGACAGGGGAGTGGTCTGCTGGGAGGGGCACAGGGAGAACGGGTGGCAGCTTTAGGTGGGGTGGCCAGTTGGTCAGTGACATTTGAACAGAGCCCTTGGTATGGCAGGCAGTGAGGTAGGGTGTGGAGCCCTATGGGTGCTGAGAGGGGAGGAGGCTGGTGGTCTCAGAGCCCAGGGAGGGCTCAAGGCCCCAAGATGGGTATAGCCGGGGAGGTCATGGGCATCACAGCCCAGGAGGCTGGTGTGGTGGGCAGGCGGCCTCATTAGCCTTGGGGACGGTGCTGGTCATTGCCTCTGGCTGCCAGCACACCCTGAAGGACCCCTGCACCCCTCCCCCTGTGTGGTGGAAGCAGCCTCTCTCTGCCCCAGGGCATGGCTCCTTGCCTGTCCCCAAGCCCCCAACCATGCCTCTCCTGACCTGAGCCTGTCACCCTCCTGGTCACTCCCTTTGGTCATGAACCAGGCTTTCCTCATGGGGGGGCATAAAAACTTGGGGTCAGCGGGGAATCAGAAAGTACCAAGTGAAGGGTAGAGGGAGGCAAACATGGAGGTGGGCAGCTCCACTTCAGGGGGCATGTCTCCCCTGCCCCAGACTTGGAGCAGGCACCCTAGGGAAGACCCAAGTGGCCTTCCTGCCACTCTCAGAGGGAGACGTCCCAGGTGGCCTGAGACCCTGGGGCAGTGCTCAGCTGGACCATCAGCTTCAGAAAAGACCAGAGCTGCCTTCCGGGGATGCACCACAGGAGAGCCACCTTCCCCTGCAGGGCTCCTCGAGGTGGCTGCGTCTGCTCTCACTGGGGAACCGGGCTGCCCTGGGCAGATGGGAGGCCTGGCTCCATCGATGGGTCTGGGAGCCACAGACATACATAAATGAGGGGCTGTTCAAGGTAATCATTCAGGGAGTGAGACACCTTTGGTTGAGAACACAAACCCCTCTAACAGAAGACTGGGACCGTGAGCGGGGAGAATCAGTCAGAACTCAGGGTGTCGAGTGGCAGATGCCTAAACCAGCTTGTGTGAAAAGAGGCAATTGACTGGCTTAGGGAATGAGCCCATGTGCTGATGCCTGGGTGTCAGGCATGGCTGGATCCAGGCGTTCACTGAAGCTGTCCAGGCTCCAGCTACGCTCTGTCTGAGCCCCACCCCCACCCCGCGCCTGCGGTGCTTCCTCTTCTCTCTCTGCAGGGAAATGGCTGTTTAGTAGCTACAGTTCTCCAAAGACTCCGAGGTATCCGTGTTGACCCAGGAAAGCTTTCAGAGGCCTCACTCAAATTTCATGTGGCCCTAGAGGCAGGGAATGGAGGGGCCACAGTTAGTGGTTCTGCTGGGACACTACGCAGCTCCCAGGGTTGTCACCAGGAGGAGGAGGAGGGCTGCTGGGCAGGGAAAACAAAGGTGTCCCCACCTGACCGTTGGCTAAAAGCAGGACCTGGGTAGCAGCTGAGCTGCTTCTAAAGGAAGCGGCTGTTGGCTGCTGGGTTCAAGGCCCACACAGGCTCAGGCTCCTGGCTGTCCAGGCGGCCCCTGCCTCCAGCCTGCTGGGCCCTGAGTCAGAGCCTGCAGGGATAGGGCTGGGGAGGCTCCAGCTTCCCCCCAGCACTCTGCCCCCACCCTTACAGCAGCCTGGGGGGGGCTCTGAGGGTGGGGGAACCAAGAGCACCGTGAGGCACAGTCAGTGCTCCCAGCCCCCAGCCCCATTTCCTGTCCGGGCCTGGGCGGCGCCTTGGCAGGGAGGCCACAACTGTTCCCCGAGCTTCCCGCAGCTGCTGCCAGGCCGGCAGTCACCCGCCCAGCCCGGAGTGTGGGGCCACGCCCTGGCGCATCCTGGGCTGGGGGGGGCACTGGAAGTGTGGTGCAGACACTCAGAGGCCCTGAGAGAGGCCGAGACTGGGGATCAGGGAGTGGCACACACACAGACCCCGACACCGGCACAGACCAGGGACGGGACTCCAGGCCACACCAGAGAGACGAGGAGACAGCGAGGAGGGCTGGTCCACAGGCAGCTGCTGTACCCACCAGGCCTTTGAGCTCCGATCCCTGGAGACCCCTTCTGCCCCCCCCCGCCCGCTATTCCCAAGTCTCCCGTCCTCAGGTACCACCTACAGGCTTGAGCTTATTCAGGGAGGGGTCCCCTGGGCCATAAAGTTCACGAACTCAGGTGGGCCCCTCTGAGTTGGTGGGCCCCAGGCCCATGCAGGTGTGAGCAGGGTCTGGTGGGGCGTTGGCCGTGGGGATCACAGTAACTCGTCCAGGGGAATGGGAGGGGGCTGCTCTCAGGGCCACTGGACCCACCCTGGTCTCCAGGTCCCCTGGTCTCTCACTGCCAGGGCCCTGCCTGGGGGAGGGGCAGCCCGGACTCAGCTCTGCCAGCACCTGCCAGGTAAACAGCTTGCACCTGTGGCAGCAGCAGGCAGGAGAGTGGATCATGCATATGGGTGGTTCATGCAAAGTGTGACCTTTTGTACCTGGCTTCTCTCACTCAGCATCACGTTTTCAAGGTGGTATAGAGAGAGTCAGAGCTTCGTTCCTTATTAAACACCTTGCTGACCAGTCACGAGTATACACGTGCCTGCATTACGTTAATTTAAGTAATTTTAAACACCTTGCTGACTGGTCATGACGGAAAAGTGGCCAGCCACAAGGGCGAGTTCTATCTGGAAATAGCTGGTCAGCGAGGTTTAAGACTAGATGGACCAGCCCGGCCCCGTGGCCGAGCGTCAACCTATGAACCGGGAGGTCAGGGTTCAATTCCTGTCAGGGCACATGCTTGCGGGTTTGATCCCTAGTAGGGGGCAAGCAGGAGGCCGCTGATCAATGACTCTCTCAGCACTGATGTTTCTCTCTCTCTCTCCCTTTCCCTCCCTCTCTTTGAAGTCAATAAAAACTTATTTTAAAATAATAAATAACCCTGCCGGGCGTGGCTCAGCGGTTAAGCATCAACCTAGGATCCAGGTGATCAGGGTTCGATTCCCGGTCAGGGCACATGCCCGGGTTGCGGGCTGTAGCCGATCAATGACTCTCTCATCATTGATGTTTCTGTCTCTCTCTCTCCCTCTCCTTTCCTCTCTCTGGAATCAATAAAGATATATTTAAAATGAATAAATAAATAAATAAAGACTATATGGACTTTGAAGCTGTTTCCACCTTTTGGCTACTGTGATTAGTACGAACATTCATGTACACGTGTTTGTTTGACATCTGTTTTCAGCCCGACCGGGCATGGCTCAGAGGTTGAGCGTCGACCTGGGATCCTGGCAATCAGGGTTCGATTCCCGGTCAGGGCACATGCCCGGGTTGCGGGATCGATCAATGACTCTTTCATCATTGATGTTTCTGTCTCTCTTCCTCTCTCTGAAATCAATAAAGATATTTAAAAAAAAAAAAAGACATCTGTTTTCAGTTCTTTGGGGTATTTATGTAGGGGTGAAACTGCAGGGTCACGGAGTAACTCTCTAGGTTTAACCCGAGGAACCGCCACCCTGTCTTCCAGGGCAGTCTCGCTGGTTTACGTCCCCAGCTGCCATGCACACAGGGTCCAGTGGCTCCAGGTTCTTGCCAACACTTGTTACTGTCTGCCTTTTTATTTCAGCCATGCCAGTGGGCGTGAAGTGCCTCACTGTAGTGTGATTTGCGTTTCCCCAGTGACTAGTGCTGCTGAGCATCCGTCCACGGCTGGCTCACTGGCCACCTGTGTATCTTTGCTGGAGGAATGTCTGTTCAGGTCCTCTGCCCATTTTTGGACCTGTTTTTTGTTGTGGTTGCTGTGCAGCTGTGAGAGTTCTTTGTATATTCTGGACACTAGACCCGTGTCCGACCTGTGATTTGCAAATATTTTTCTCCTGTCCGTGTGTTTTTCTCACTCTGTTGATAGTGTCCTTTATGCACAAAGACGTTTATTTTGATGAAGTCCAATTTATCTCCTTTCCCTATCTTTGTTGCTTGTGTTTTTGGTGTTACAGCTAAAGAACCATGGCCAAATCTAAGTTTACGTAGATTTACTGTTTTCTTAGAGGAAACCATAGGAGCAAATCCATTTTGAGTTACCCTTGCGTGTGGTGTGAGGTGGGGGTCCAAGTTCACTCTTCTGCGTGTGGACGTCCGGCTCTCCCAGCCTCGTTTGTTGAAAACACTGTCCTCTCCCCATGGGCGGTCCTGGCGCCTTTGTTGGAAGTTGTGTGACCACAGGTGTGAGGGTTCACTCTGGGCTTCTGTTCTGTCCCATTGGTCTCTGTCTGTCTCTATGCCAGCACCATCCTGATTCGATCCCTGCAGCTTTGTGGTGGGTTTTAAATCGGGAGATGTGGGACCTCCAGCTTCCTGCTCTTTCTCAAGATTGCCTTGGCTGTCCAGGGTCCCTTGAGATTCCACATGAACTTTAGGAATATCTTTTCTTTCTCTGCAAAAAAAAAAAAGCCAAAAAGCCACTGACATTTTTCAGCTACTTCTTTAAAAAAGATAAACTGGCGAGGAGGCCACGGGAGAGCCATGTGGAGGGCAGCACAGTGGGCTGGACGGGCTGGATGGGGCCAGGTAATTCCGAGGATGAGAGCACAGTGGAGGCAGGGGTGACACCAGGGTGTCTGTCTGAGCAGCTGGCGGGGAGCCGGCAGGATGGAGAAGGGCAGCTGGTGGCACAGAGGATGAATGTGCTGGGTCCTGGACCTTTCTAGCCCGAGATGGTCATGGCCATGGGGGGGAAGCAGGGTGTGGTGAGCCAGGAGTACAGGCCAGGGAGGGAAGGGCCACGGGGAAGTGTGTGGAGCCCAGGATGTCCCAGAGCTGCCAGTGTCCCCCCAAGGTGAGAGCAGTCAGGGGTGAGCAGGAGGAGAACCCCAGAGAGAGGTGGGGACTTTGCAGAGAAAGGGTTGTGGGGAGGGCCCTGGCCACTGTGGATCTAGTTAGAGCGTCACCCGAGCACCAAAGGGTCATGGGTTCGATTCCCAGTCAAGAGCACGTACCTGGGTTGCAGGTTTAATCCCTGGCCCCGGTCGGGGCGTGTGTGGGAGGCAACCGGTCCATGTGTCTCTCTCACATGGATGTTTCTCTCTCTCCTTCCTTTCCACTCTCTCTAAAAATCAATGATCAATAGAAAAAACGCCCTCAGGTGAGGATTAACCAAAAAAAATAAAAGTTGTGGGAGGAACAGACTTTTGGCCCGAGACAGAGTAGCAATAGAAAATAGCCAAATTTAAGACATAGGTATGTATGGAACCTGCACACCTGAGAGACAGACCCCCACGTGCACGAGAGGAGAGGATCAGAGACAGAAGGGAACCAGGGTCTGTAAGACACAGAAACGGGTCCTGCCCTGAGACAGGTCAGAAGAGGTCGTCGCTGATAATCTCTCACCAGGGGCAAGGCCTCTGATTCAAGTTCTTCCAGGTAGTCAGGGAGGGGCAGAAGCTTCTCTTGAGCCTGAGGCTAAAGTTGCCTTTAACTCAAAGTGATTGGTATTCAGGCCACAAACTAAACGAGACCAGCTCAGGGGAGCCCTGACACACTCAGAGGCCGACAGCAACCACTAACCACGCAGGACGGTCTGAGCATAAAACTTCCTAACCAAACGCAGGCCATGCTGGGTGTCCCCTTCTCGGCCTGTAGCTTCCTTAACAAAGGTCAGTCTTTACCTAACTGAGCCTGTCTGCGGTCTTTTTGCATCAAAGATAAAGAGACACATACCTTTGAAATGCCAGAGTAATAGCCTTTCCAGACCCCTCAGGGCACACCCAGAGCAAGACCACACAACCCCTCATTGTCCTCTTGTCTGCCCCATTTATTGCATCTCCAAGTGCAATAAATGCTGATTAATTACCCCATTACCCCATACCCACCAATGTAAAAGATGTGTCTTCCTGTTTTACTCTATCCAGTCCCAGAGATGTCCCTGCTTTGCTTCCCCAGCCCCCCCATGGCTTCCCCAGCAATTGTTGTCAGTTCAAGTAAACTCATAAAAACTCTCATCCTGGACGGTGTGGCTCAGTGGGTTGGGGTGTAGTCCCCATACCTGGGTTGCAGTGAACACAATGTTTTTCTCTCTCCCTCCTCTCTCTCCAAAATCAATAAACATGTCTAGGTAAGGATTAAAAATAAAAAAAATAAAAAAATTCGCTACAGGTTTGGACATTTAAAAAGAATATTTTTATTGATTTCAGAGAGGGAGGGAGAAACACCAGTGATGAGAGAGTGTCATGGATCGGCTGCCTCCTGCACGCCCTGTACTGGGGATGGAGCCCACAACCTGGGCATGTGCCCTGAGCGGGAATCGAACCCGGATCGCCCGGATCAACGCTCAACCACTGAGCCATACCAGCCAGGCGGAACATTGTTTATGTCCACATTTCTGAAGCACATCTTGGGGTGGCTGGTTCTGAACCCCCAAAGGGTCATGTGGCCAGGGCAGCAGGGACCAGCTGCAGGGTTTCAGAGCCAGACTAAGGGGGAGTGTGTGTGAATGCAGCCAGGAGGCAGGACAAGGCTGGGGCTTTGAACGTCGGGCCTGGGGGCACCTCAGAAGGAAGTAAGGGGGCCCTTCCTGTCACCCACCTCCATCTCAGTGCTCCTCTCCCAGGAGCCCCAGCAAAAGCACCCCAACACCACCACCCTCTTCCACTTCTGGGCAACGCCTTCGTATTCACTGGTCTCCTGGTTTTGGCTGTCTGCAGAGCAGAGACCCCTCCTCACCCAGGGAGGAACCTGCTGCAGGCTCTGGATAACCGCAGCCAGCTGTTGCCAACAGAGGTGGTGTGGGAGGGGGAGGGTCTCACTCCCAGGAGGGCCCCCTGCATCCCATCCGATCCCTCTGGGCCCCCTCACTTCCCTTTAGCAGCAGGGGACACAGTTTAGCCTGGTGGGGAGGACTCGGCCCCTGGCCCTGGGTCTCCTTGCCCTCCCCACACGGGGCTGAGGCAGTTGACCTGGACCCTCCTGCCTGCTGAGCCGTCTTCCTTCTGCCTTTTGCCCCAATCCTGACACCAGCCTGGCAGCCCAGCACCTTCAGCCACCGTCCAAAGCAGAGGTGGGCACCAGGCAGATGTGGGGGTGTCTGGGGGCTGGGCTGGGCCAGGAGCATAGCCAGGGGAGGGTCATTGGGTCCCCTGTTCTTCTGCCCCCACCTGCCCTAGGCCACCTGGCTCTGCTCCAAGTCAGCTGGGGAACCACAGCAAGTGCCCCGGGGCAGGCAAGGGGTGGGGACAGCAAATTCCCTTCTGTAGGGCTATTGGGCCCCAGAGCCCCTGCCACGTCCCCAATCCCTGGCCCCTGGGTTTCAGTCTTGCAGGTCCTCCACAGGGGACCTTGCCTCATCTCCAGTGTGCCCCCAGGGCCCCAGGGCTGTTTGTCCAGAATCCTGCCCCTGAGGCCCAGCCCATCTGCCCCGTGGGAGGTGATGCAAGGTGTTCCTGGAAGGGGCAACCAGAGGCTGGGGCCAGGGGACCTGGAGAGGGTGGAGTTGGAGGCTGGAGGTGAAGGAGGCCGTGCTGGGGGGGGGCCCAGGCAGCAGGGGTGCTGGGTGGAGCCCGAAGGCCCTGCTGGGGGGCGGGGCTGCAGGCCCTGCGTGTTTTGGAAGCCAGTGGCTGGGGGTGCAGCCTGGAGCCAGGGGCCCTGGGGCGATCGCCCTGACGTCACTCTGGGACTGTCTGCTGGCTCTTGGGCATCTCGCCCAGGGCTCACCCCCAGGCCTGCCTGGGGCCCCTCTGGGGCGGGCTGAAGCCTGCCGGATAGACTTCTAAGGGCCCATCCGTCCTGCCCCATTGCCCATCCAACAGCCCCTGTCGGCCGGGGAGGGGGGAGGGGG